GTATCAACTTTGAAGGAGGATTGGCTCAAATTTAATGGGATATTCAGATAGTGATTGGGCTGATTCTATAGATGATATAAAGAGCACCTTTGGATATTTATTTACACTTGGGTCTAGAGTATTTTGTTGGAATTCAAAGAAACAAGAAGTCGTAGCACAATCAATAGCAGAGGCAGAATATATAGCAGCTTTAGCAGCAGTGAATCATGCCATTTGGTTAAGGAAAATTTTAAGTGATTTGCATCAAGTTCAAGTCAATCCTACTACAATTATGATCGACAATCAATTTGCAATTGCTGTGGCAATAAATCCTGGGAGAACAAAGCATATAAAAGTGAAATATCATGCCATCAGACAAGCTGAGAAAGAAGGAGAAGTGAATTTGCTATATTGTCCTTCACAAGTTCAATTGGCTGATTTGCTTACAAAGCCTCTAGCAAAATGTCATTTTGATGAATTGAAGCAACAAGTTGGAGTATTACATAAAAGCTTCAAGGAGGAGAATGAAGGATGTGAAGCTTTTATTTAAAACTCATCTAGACTATCTATTTATTTAAGCTACAATAGAAAGTATGGTAGCCTGCAATAGCCATGTTTTATGGATAGCCACTGTCTCTAGGTTCAGATTTTTGTGTACCTTTCCATTATATATGAAAAATGAACTCTCTGTAATACGTAATCGGGGAAAAAAGATATGAACTGAGACTTTTTCTCTTTTCTAAAATAGCTGTAGTTTATCTCCCAGTTTTTCCCCTATTTCTGGTTCTTCAAATCCATTGCTGTTTTTCTCCTTTATTCTTGAAGATGTTGTGCAGTTTTTTTTTTTTTTTTGAGCTCTTCTACAAGAAAGGAAGGAGCTAACAGTCTCAACAGGGAAAGTTGTATAGTTTGTCTCCAAAGGTTCTAAGATTGTTGAAATAGGTGACCAGTAAAGCAGCATAAATCATGATAACATTTGGAGGAGGGTCATGATTCAAGACAGTTCTGCGGCAATGCACAAAATAGTAGAACAATTATAGAAGATCTAAATAGAGGGATATATATTGGCAGTATATTACTCTACCAAGACAAAAAGCTTCCCCTTCCCACTATTCAAGTATTCAGAAAAAACCAAATATATTGCCACATCGGAATTGTGTTTAACTAATAAAGATATAACTACAGAATGATACTTGAAGGCTCAATGAAACTAAGTATGATTTAAAAATTGTTACATGAAAAATAGGTCAATTTATTGGCAAAATTCCGAGAAAGAGGATCAACTTTTATCCAGAGCAGAATATGCATTTAAGTGAGTTAGGAAATGATGATTGCTTGAAGTTTTTCGTAATACATATTTGCAAATGCTTGACTCATACCATCAGGTCATTCTTGACATAAAAATTAGTATGATCTTTGACACACATATATATTTAACAGAGAAACAGCTTATGCAAAATGAAATGAATTAGGTTTAGAAGTAGGCTTTTTTGCTGATTGTGCTAACGATGTCATTTTTGTTCAAATTTAACGTACATTAGACGCCACATCAGAATTCCGTCCACCCAATCAGTGACTAACGAAATGAATTTTTATAAGTGATGGATGTAGTGTTAACGGGTAAAGTTGAGGGAGTATTATGAAGTAGAA